CAAGTTATCGAAATGCGAGTTTTGGTTGCAAGAGGTTCAGTTCCTTGGACATCTCGTTAACCAGGAGGGGATTTTGGTCGATCCGGCCAAGATCGAGGCAGTTATGCAGTGGGAGGTTCCGAAATCTCCCTCGGATATCAGGAGCTTCTTGGGATTGGTAGGGTACTATCGGAGATTCATACATGATTTCTCCAAGATTGCAGTACCCCTCACTCGTCTAACGAGGAAGGATGTGGATTTCCGGTGGGGCCCTGAGCAGTAGACTGCATTTAAGACTCTGCGTCAGCGACTTTGCGAGGCGCCAGTTTTGACACTCCCTGAGGGAGTTGAGGATTTCGTGGTGTTCTGTGATGCATCGATCACCGGATTAGGAGCAGTCCTCATGTAGAGAGGACGGATGATAGCCTATGCATCGCGGCAGCTGAAGCAGCACGAGACGAGATATCCTACACACGATCTGGAGTTGGGAGCGGTGGTATTCAATCTCAAGATATGGAGACATTATCTCTATAGGGTCCGGTGTACCATATACACGGACCACAAGAGATTGAGACACATCACAGATCAGTCGAACCTGAACATGAGGCAACACAGGTTACTGGACGTAGTCAAGGATTGTGACTGCGAGATCGTTTACCATCCGGGTAAAGCGAATGTGGTTGCGGACGCCCTGAGCCGCAAGTTGGCTGAATCTTCTGTTTCAGCAGCATGTATGAGGATATAAGTGGATTCTCCACTTGTGATCTTGATTAGGGAAGCTCAGGTCGAGGGTGTACGACAGAATAACTGGAAGCTGGAGAGGATTAGGGGTGAGATCAACAGATTCATGCAGGATAGTCGGGAATTGTTGACCCATTGCGGTCGGGTATGGGTTCCGATGTCTTGTGGGGTCAGAAAGATTGTATTGGAGGAGGGTCATAAGTCTCGCTTCTCTATTCACCCGGAGGTCACCAAGATGTACCGAGATCTGAGACTGAGCTACTGGTGGTCGTGCATGAATAGAGAGATCGCATGGTATGTCGAGAGGTGCTTGACCTGCAGGATGGTCATGGCCGATCATCAGAGGCCGCATGGAAAGCTGCAGCCTCTGGAGGTTCCCATGTGGAATTGGGAGCAGATCACGATGGACTTTATCACCAAGCTGCCAAGGAAGGCGAAGGGCTTTGATGCTATTTGGGTCATCGTGGATCGATTGACCAAGAGTGCCCATTTTCTGCCCATTCGAGAGAGCTTATCGGCCGAGAAGTTGGACGATATGTATATCCGTGAGATCGTTGCTCGTCATGGGGTACCGGTCTCTATTGTCTTAGACCGTGATGTTCGATTCACCTCCCGTTTATGGCAGAATTTCAGCACAGCTTATCATCCGCAGACAGATGGTCAGAGTGAGCGGACCATACAGATTCTCGAGGATATGTTGCGGGCCTGCGTTATTGACTTTGGTGGGAGCTGGCACTCCTGCCTATCGCTTGCAGAGTTCTCATATAACAATAACTTTCATTCCAGTATTGGTGCTCCGCCATTTATGCTGTTGTATGGACGGAGATGTCGCATCCCAGTCTGTTGGGGTGAGGTTGGTCATAGGGTGATGGGTCGGACCGATGTAGTTCTGCAGACTACCGAGAGGATTCAGTAGATCAGGCAGCAGCTACAGACTTCTCAGAGTCGGTAAAAGAGTTACGCTGACCGGCGTCGATCTGAGTTGGAGTTTCAGGTTAGTGACATGGTACTATTGAAGGTCTCACCCTAGAAGGGTGTGATTCACTTCAGAAAGAGGGGAACTTGGGTCCCCAATACATTGGACCCTTTCGGGTTATTGCTAGGGTTGGTAAGGTGGCATATAGACTGGATGTCCCCGGAGGAGCTCAGTCAGATTCATAGCACTTTTCACGTCTCGCAATTGCGAAAGTGCATATTAGATGAGGATGCAGTGGTGTCATTAGATGATATTCATATTGATGAGCGCCTGAATTACGTGGAGAGGCCATTGGCCGTTCTGGAGAGGAAGGTGAAGGTTCTACGAAAAAAGGAGATACCTTTGGTAAAGGTACAGTGGCAGCATCGGAGGGGATCCGAGTGGACTTGGGAGCCGGAGGCAGAGATGCGGGAGCATTATCCGGAGTTGTTCACCGCAGCAGGCTTCGAAGACGAAGCCTAGTTCAAGTGGGGGAGAATTGTAACATCCTAACTCCCAGGTATGAAATTTTAAGGATTTTTGCTCATTACATAAGACCTACTCGACGAGTTGGAGGCCCCAACTCGTCGTGTAGAAACTAATAAAGCCGCATGAATTTTGGAACCTACTCGACGAGTTGGAGGACCCCAACTCGACGAGTTTGAGTTGAATTGGAAAACCCTAATTTTTAGGGTTTGAACCCTATTTAAAGGACTTAACCCGTATTCTTTGGCCTCCCTTATCACCTCATTACCCAGAGAAGGGAACCCTAGCCGTGCTTTACTACTTCCTTGTGTGTGTGAGCTTAGAAGTTCATTTTTGTGCTCTTTTGGAGGGGTTTGAAGTATGAAGAGGCTGGAGTAAAGGGAGAGGCAGTAGATCCGACGTGTACTTGGTTTTGGCATCCGTTTGGAGGTAAAAAGTCTTTGCATTGACCTCTTATTACTTAGATCTTCCTTTATGCAAGAATATGGTCATTTCTAGTGCAAAATGGAGTCACTCTCGGGTTTGAGCTTGTCATAAGGACATGGTCTCAAATCCGTACTCCTCTAGGCCCCCATGGAGACAAAGTTGTCGACTTTATCTAGTCTTGGCCCTCCTCCGTTCCCTAAACCTCTTATTAAGCTTAGTTTTAGTGTTTTAATCCCTTTGAAGCCTTGCATGCACGTAAAGTTAGCAACTTTACATGGTATCTCAGTCCTAAGAGGCTAGATCTGTAGTTTGGGGTTTACCCACTTTCTAGATATTGAGTGAACTCGACGAGTAGGTGAGATGAGTCGACGAGTTGATTAGGGTTTTCCCGATCTTCTGAACACTAAAGAACTCGACAAGTTACTCGGGTAACTCAGCGAGTTGTCTCGAGTTTTTCACAACCTTCGGAGATATGAAGGAACTCGACGAGTCAGTAGATGTACTCGACGAGTTGGGTCAACATGGACTGTTGACCATGACCGTTGACTTTGACTTTGACCATGGTTGACCAAGTTTGACTTCTGAGGGTATTTTGGTAATTTGGGATTCTAATGGAATCAGTCATATGGTGGTTGGTGGTTACAGGCAGCTTAGTTTGGAGCTGTGAGTTAGGATTCGATTTATCGGTTCAACACTACTTGTGAGGTGAGGTTTCCTCACTATACTAACAGGGTTGAAGGCACCAATGCCAGCCCTTTTGGATTGTTATCCTGGTTATCGCATGATGATATGCTTAGTGATCTGTTAGATATGTATCCTGGTATATAGGATGATGCTATGTTTAGTGACCTGTTAGGTCAGTATCCTGGTATATAGGATGATGCTATGATTAGTGATCTGTTAGATTGGTCTGACTGTTTGTACATGCTAGCATTTGTTATCTATGTGTTGATTGTATGCTTGGAGTGGGTTGAGGCGGTCTTGCTTTGTGCTGTAGGCCAACATACCCAAGGCGGCCCAGATAGACTGAAGGCCCAATGGGGCGTACCAGTCAGGCCGAAGGCCCGGAGAACGGTCCAGATAGGCTGAAGGCCCGGTAGGGCGAAGCATACATGCTGAAGGTTCTGAGAGTAGGCCAGACAGACTGAAAACCCGGTGTGGGCGGTCCAGTCATACTGTAGACTCTATATGCATGTTGTTTATTATGATATTGCTATGGTTTGTATGGCGTTGGTATTTTGGGGGAACTCACTAAGCTTCGGGCTTACATTTTTGGATTTTGTTTCAGGTACTTCGGACGATAGCGAGAAGGCAAAGGCTTGATCGTGCACCTCCTTATATTTTATGATTTTGATTTCTGGGATACTTTAATATGAAACTATTTTGAAAACATTTTGTAATAAGTAACGGTTTTTGGATGCTTGAAAAAATTTTGAATTTTTATGAATTTTATGGATGTTACATTATAGTCCCTTCAATGCAACTACAAAAATCATCTCTCTCAAACTCATCTTCAAGTGTGCTTTTTCTACATATCGTCCCAAGGATGATCTAAATGTAGTTAGATTCTTACTTGCAAACAACTCAAGTGCAATTCTCACCAAAGAAAAGTTTGTCAATGCTATTAGTCTTTGAGTACATGCTATTACTGAATTTCAAAACCCCTCCAAAACTCTTATATATTTCGATTTTTACCCGAAAAATCAGGTTTAATTTAGTTTAACTTTGCATATTGTTTACTAAATTTATATTTTGTTTAAATCTTTAACTAGAATAAAAAATTCGTTATGAGCTAAACTCAAAAGTACTAATCTCATCTATATACCAATTACTAAAGGCACTACATTCATATTTACTAGTAAATTCTTTAATATCAATTATCAAAGGCCCTTATAGATCCATTGTCCATTCTTGTAATTAAGAATTCAAGAAAGCTATGTGTAAAAGTATCCGTCGATCTATCTAATATTATTTCAGCAGTGAGACCTAAGCATACTATTATTGCTTTGTTTATTATAATCTTATACTTTCATTTCTTAATGGCAAAGTATTTTGGAAATCTAATCGATCGATATAGTCGTTTTGCACTTCTATACCTTAATAAAAAACTTCACATGCATTATAATATCTAAATAATGATAAAATGTGCAATACTATAATTAAGTAGATTTTATAGCATACCATGTATTAAATTACAAAAAAAAAAAAAATAATAAAATAAAATAAAATAAAAAAATACAAGGTTCTAATGATGCTATCTAAACAATACACATATAAATAAAAGTGTGCTTTATTCATATTAAATCATCAAAGGTTCAACGTAATTTACAAGATCTTACATACTTACTCTTAGTTTCTTCTTTCTTGTACATTATTTGATATTATTCTATGGTTTATACATCTTTTCGGTGAATCACCGGAGCCACCAGGAACCATAGTCACTGTCCGATCTCGCATTACAATAATCAAAGTAAAGCACTTCCCAACCTCCAATCATACGACCACCATCAATCTTGGTCAAACTATCATGGCACAAAGGACACGTTGTACGTCTACATGCAATCCATACATCCAAACAATGTCTATGAAAAAAGTGGTTGCACCTCGACTCTCTCATCTCATCATCGTCTTCTATTTTCCTTGAGCAGACGCCACACTCTACCTCATCAAAAGAAGCTGCACTGCCGCCACCATGGTGGTAGTGGTCCTCCGGCAAGCTAACTATACGGTGGTGGAAAAAAATTAGATGAGTCAAGAAATCAAGTGCCCATTTCAAATGTGTAAGAAATGAGACTACTAGGTGTGTAGGCATTTTTGATTGAAGAGAGATGGAGAAGAAAAAGGTGCGTTGGATAAAGAGTTAACATACGATAATGTGCACCTACCCAAGTTTTCTTGTAAGAGATACATGAGTTTATATAGGAATTATACATAGATCATAAACTTAAAATCGAAATACGTTTGTACAATCATTGATGCATGAAATATAACTTACTACTGTTTTAACGAAAAAGTGTACGATAAATGTAATAATTAATATAAAAAAGCTTTCGGAGAAGTTTAAAAGCAAAATAATGCAACACATGACTTACATCATGAATACGTATTTTTAACGCAGCATGTCTTTTCAAAATTTTAGTGTAAATAATTATTATTTTGTATAACTTAATTACAAAATAATATAATTTATTTGTTTATTGATAAATATTTTAAGATATTAATAAAACAAAATTTCTTATGCATGATATTTTTAGGTTGGCTGAATTTGAAATTTTGATTATCAAAAATTTAAGCATTCGGTCACTTTTATTGTCAAACGAAAATTAAGGGTACAGAAGAAGAAATCATGTGTAGAGATTTGGCGTGTTGTTGCATGGAAATACGTCATATAAAAATAAGTCAAATGGTCAATATGGACCAGCAGCTTCTGCTAATAATGGATGATTGCTATGGCTATTGGATCCATAAACAACGAAACATGTGTCAAATTTCAATTTTTTAATTTAGAAAGTTGATGTAATTTAAATTTTTATTCATAACATTTTATTAACAGTTCAATATTATTAAGGACCACCTATAGCAAAAAGCTAGAAAGGAAAATAAATCTACATAGAAAGTATCGGATTTTAAAGCCAATCACTCCATTTTATATAAGCTTTTTTAATGTTAATATATGAACCATCAAAAACAAATACTCAATTATCGAATTAAAACTAAAAATATAATCTCAATTTTTTTTGTTAAACAACAAATCATTTAAGAATCTCCATATCACCAACCATGTAGTTCAAATAATGACATGTATGACACGTTTCTTTTCACTCGAAATCCGAGAAATATTAACCCAATGAAGCAATTCGGCCACCTTAATGTTTATTGGAAGGTCTATGTTGCACCATTTCACAACTACATTTTATGTTTTCACAGCTATCTCACATTCTACAAACAAATGATGAATGTTCTCAACATAACATTACAACATGGGCTCAAAACTAACGGTATACCAATTCCTTTGTGATAAGGTTGGACCAGAGAGGCACACCGTCCAAAAGTTAACACCAAGAAAAAAAAACAAAAAACAAAAAAAAAAAAAATATATATATATATATATATATATATATATATATATATATATATATATATATATATAACATCCCAAAAATACAAGTTAACATTTTTATTTTTAAAGTATTCATTCCATTTCATAAAAGGATCATCATAGTATCATAACAAGTTCCATAATAATTATCAGAGTGTCATAAAACAAAATGCAGATCTTCGGTGGATGCAATGCGATCAAGTTGGACCCTTCTTTTTCGCTAATAGAAGTACCTGAAACATTTAAACTTGAAAACGTAAACACAAAGCTTAATGACTTCCAAAAAAACCACATATTATACATATCAACTATATAAAATGTATGCTATGGTCCTCCCATAGTCTTACAGTCACTTATGTTGCTGCAATCCTTCTACAGTTTTACTTGTTATGGTCCTTCCATAGTCTTCCATACAGCTGTCATCGTCCTCCCATGGTCTTTCGTACAATTTTCATGGTCCTCCTATGGTCTTTCATACAACTGCTATGATCATACCACCGTCTTTCATGAAAAAAGTCACAAAGACTATATAACATTCTACATAGTATAGTGAGAAGATTTGTCTCTCTCGATCAAAGTAACTACACCACTGCTTGTGAGATCGGAAGACTAATGCTACACACCATCTATAGAATCACATAAGGCCAAACCACTACAAGAAAAATCCTAAATAGCTAAACTTGCTGCGGAATTGAAATCCGTAGCTATTCTATTACAGAATGTGCTACAAAATGACTTTTCATAGCTATTTTGCTACGGAAATAGCTATAAAGTTACATTCCGTAGCTAAACTAGGAATAACTACAAAAAGTTACTACGTAATCAAAATTTGTAGATATTATACTACGGAATATGTTACAAAATGGCTAGCCGTAGCTATTTTCTACGGAAATAGCTACGGAGTTGCATTTCCGTAGCTAAATCTTGAATTGTTGCTACAAAATCAAAATTTGTAGCTATTTTACTATGAAATATAGTACATGGTTGTTGGTTGTTGGTTGTAGCTAGTTTGCTACGGAACTTGTTACGTAATCCATTTTCGTAGTTGGTTGGCTACAAAATCGGTTACGGAATAAAAATACGTAGCTAGTTGGCTCATAATAGAAATTTTGTCACACCCCCAATCCAAGAATGGCAGAAACGTCCGGGGGTGGAGGACTTCATATATAGTATCACAACAACGAGTATAATAGTGCTCAAAGTAAATACAACCATCATAAATATAATTGAAAAGGTTACACCATAGAATAAGTTTACATGTTTCAAAATCAATTACATTATGATGACAAAATGAACTGTTTGACGATTTATCGTCCCATCCTCAAAATGTTGTTGGTTTTTCCGTTTCACTGATTTCCTGAGAATACAAGTAGTTTTGAAAAAGTGTCAACAATTAAGTTGGTGAGTTCATAAGAGTTTTGTTTGAGAAAGAAACCGTTTTCCTTGTAAAAGCGACATAGTATGTTTCCAGAAAATCCAATATTTTTGTTAATTAAGTGTGAAATGAATGCTCCTATGTTATGCGATAATGAACCCTAGAAACACCTGTAGGTTCCTTCTATAATTACCCGGCGTATATAAGTTATATAAATTTAAGTTAAATAAACCGTTGAATATAATGGGTCTGCCCTAGGTCCACAACCAAACAAGGAACAGGAGATAAGGCGGGCCCACCAATTCTAAGTCGATTGTGACTAGATTCTTATAGAACTCTAGCATATACACTTAGCAATTATAGCCGAAGCCTAACAATTCTAGACGTAATGTAGTTTTAATAGAAATATGTTTCCAAAGAAAATCCGATATTTTCCTTAAAGAGTGAATCGTAAGTTTTTATATTAATAAATAGTGCATCCTAGAATTTCCTATAGTTTCCTTCTATAATCTCTAAGTGTATATAAGTTATATAAAATTTAAGTTAAATAGACCGTCGAATGTAATGGGTCTGCCCTAGGCCCACAACCAAACAAGGAACAGGAAATAAAGCGGACCCACCAATTCTAAGTCGATCACGACTAAATTCTATATAACTCTAGCATATACACTTAGTAATTATGACTGAAAACTAACAATTCTAGATAGAATGTAGTCTTAAAAACCAAAGACCGAGACTATGCTTATCATAATTCATCAAGTAGTAGTAGTGGACATAAACTATATATATCATAATTCACCAAATAGTGGTAGTGATAGTGAACATGAATTATGCATATTATAGTTTATCAAATAGTGGTAGTGGTACTGAACATAAACTATACATATCATAATTCACCAAATAGTGGTAGTGATAGTGAACATGAATTATGCATATTATAGTTTATCCAAAATGTTTGTAATGTATATGCAACATAACTATACCTATTATAGTTCTAGCATGTTTTTTTGTGATGTATAAGGACCCTTTTTCTATGTAAGTTGAATGTATAGCAAAAATATAACTATGTTTATCATGCCTTATTTTGTACTAATGGTAATAATGGAGAATTCTTACAATTCAGTGATTATTTTCTGTTATATAATTATACCACAACAAGAACCACGTGTAAAATATGAAATCTTCAAAGATTAACACTTTTCTCAACAAGTTACAAAGTGTGATGAAAGTTATAAGCTGTTATCTAAATTTTTACCTTTCTACACTGTTTTAGAAAAATCATAGAAAAATCATACGAAGTCGAAATCTGATTCCGTAAATTCTGAGAGTTCACAAAATGTGTCTAGTTTATTCATAATTTTTATTATGATCTTTAGAAGTCTTTAACTTGTGTTAAAATGTTCACATTCACAGACTGGTCCGAATTCGTTTCTGAAATGATAGGCAGTTTTGTAAAAATCACCATAAATCGTAGAAAAATCGTATGGAAATGTGCAAGTAGTCATTTTAAAGGTATGAACCTGAACTATTTGCATATTAAACAGTTTTTAAAGATATTAAGTTTAAGATAGTGAAAACAGTCCGTGAATGAGACTCAACTTTTCTGATGAAAGCTGTTGTTTGAGTTTAGTTAAGTTTTTGGTGTTTTAACTTGTATTCCCCCCCTTAAAACTTAAGAAAAACATGAAAATGTAGGGGTATGAACTCACCTTGTGTGTTCTTAGTGTATGGATGTTGAAGAAAAGAAGTGTTCAACTCAAGAACACATAGAAGATGCCTTGAAGGTTCGAAGATCTAACACAAATGTGATGGAATTTGTGTAAGTATTCTATGATTTTGGGTAGAAGGAAGTGAAATAATCATAAGGAGGATAATATCACTTACCAAAAGTGGAAGAAAACTTGATGATCAGCCCTTGAATCTCGAATTTGAGAGAGAGAAGTGAGAGAGAAAGGTGTTTGTTCTTTGGTGGAGAATGAGAGAAGAGTGAGGAGAGATAAGAGTTTTCTAGACCTTGACCAAGAGTATGGCTGGAATTATGGTAGGAAGAGGACAATGATTAACTAGGTATGGTGGAATAGTGATTGTGGATGGTCAAGGAGTGGGTATGGGGGGTTGCTTATGTTACACACTAAGGTAAAGTCAACACTCCACCTCAAATATTCACCCACTAGATTTTATTCTTAAATAAAGATTTCCATAAAAATATGTTTAAATTATGAATATTTAGGGTCTTAAATGTTAAAATATGATTTTTGGAGAAAATCCCGCATTAAAATCATGAAAAACGGGCTTAATACATGAAAATGGTCAAAAACCGGGAAAAACAGGCGAAAATCCGAAGTCTGGGCGGGAGGTTCGGTTCCTGATGCTTAGAGCCGAAAGTAGGTGGGAGCCGAGAGGAGGGTTCGGTCACTGGATAGGAACCGAGAGAAG